CGAGTGGCAGTTTGGTCAAAAGAAAGTGGAATCCTGTTGTCGGTAAAGCCGGCCGGATTATCGATAAAGTGGACACCTACCGTACGTTTAATGGACAATTTTAAGAGTTTTTGGAAGGACCTTTTTCTTTTTTCCAAAGTGGCTACAATGATCGGCACGTGACTGCAGTGTAAAGCAAGCAAGGATTTACAGCTGCATTTTGCGTGATGCCAAGCCTGTTATTTGGTGGGCGGAATGATTGCTGGCCAGTGTGTAAAAAGCCCTTCCCTAACTATACAATGAATGACTTTCTCTCGCTTTTCTTTTCTTATTCTTTTTCTTTCTTCTTCCGTTTACAGAGAAACAAAGGCGGTGAATTAGAGTTGCGCTCTTTTTCTATTATTTCCACTTATGTGTTGGGTGCGAAAGAAAGTTCTGCCGTCCACAACCGTGCGCTTGTTTTGGCAAAGTGGGCGATAATTTCGGAAAGGAAGAAGGGGCTCGTTGTGCTACGCCTGAAGTCAGTAAGGTTAAAGAATCGCTGCTCAGGATTTCTCTATCGTTTAAGCTTAAATCATCTCAAAATATCTTGGTGAAAATACTACGATATATCGATTTGAACGTAAAGCCAAATATTTAATATATAATTTCAAGTATAAACACTTTTAAAGGTGATAAAATTATCGTTTACTTTGGTGAAAAAGAACAGTGCTTTTATTTTTCTTTACGTCTTCCATTTGTTAAATACGAAGAAAATATAAAAAGAGGGTCGTAAGCATCGAAGGATCTTTATCAAAAATGCTTCTAAAATCCAGATTTTGAATTTACAAATGCGTGAATTTGATGCAAAAATGTCAATTTTAACGTAAATATTGATTTTAAAAAGTTGGTTTTAACAAAGATTAACGAGGTTAAAATTAAAAATTTGTGCCATTTACGCATCAAAATCCTTTTTTTATCCGCTAAATTTAGTTAAAATTATTTAGTTTTTAATAAAATTTTATAATTAAAAATAATAATTTAACTTGAGATCTGTGGAAAAGTTCGTAGCTTCGTCCCATTGTACAAGAGGGGACGGGAAAAAACAAGTAAATAATTACGATACACGACACGGCAGATATTTTCCGAGATACTTACTCATTTATAATTGGCATAACTAGAGATACATCCCGAAAAAGAAGGAGAAGGGGAAAAAATCTTTTAAGTTAACTCAATCGAACAACTTCCACTACTAATTTAGTATGGAGTAATTGGAGTTCGATCTAACTCTAAGACAAACTAGCTTGTTATGATGGATGAGTAGAAGATTAATGACAAACCTTCTCCCTTCAAGACCAGATTATTAATTTATCTTTCACGCCTTTCTCTTCTAGCAATCTGCTTAATACGAGACTCCACTTTGGCTCGACTTTTAACTAAAATCGCTTCGACGGTTCCCATTCGAGACATTACGTCCACAATGGCCAACTCTCCTCTCGTGTGACAACCACTCATCTATAAAAATGGAGCCCACTAATGATAACTTATACTACTAACTTCCTTCTCACAATTATAAATTTTCATCAAGTCATAAAATATATACGTATTATAGCTCGGAGGAGTCTTAAATTTTCGAAATTTACAGATTTCTGGAGGATTCCGGGGTGTTTTTTTTAATTATCTAGCAGTAATGATATCTTAGGTATGATTTATAGCACGGAGTGTAGCTTATGTAATGGATCTAGGCTATTTTAGCGGCGCGTAAACTCGGAAACCTCGTTCGTGCGAAGAGAAAGTCGAAAGTGTGGACTTACGTGTGGAAAGAAAATCATCGGTGGAATCGAGGAAGGTGTGGTCTTTTCGGGGAAAAAAGGAAGAGAGGAGGGAGACGATAAGCCACTTTCTACACCACGGATGCATCACGCAACCACCTAACATTTCCGCGTAAGATCACGTCACGATTTCGGTCCGGATATCAGCACCAAATGCATAAATCATGAGATTCGGAAACGTCAGACGAAAACAGGTGACCCTTTCTACCATAACGCACGCTTTCGACGTTGCCTAATGCGTTTTGTTTCCACTCCACGCTAAATATTTCTAGAACACGTTACAATGTATAACTTCTACTTAAGGTTAAATGATGGAGAGGGACTCCCGGAGACATTTATTTAATAGAGGAAAAACATCTACATCCGCTATAACGGAACGTTTTGCAGACAAATAGGAAGTGGTAAACGTGCGTAAAAATAGGCGGCGGGTAAGAAAATTTCGATACTTGCGGCAAAACCGAATAAAATGAAATAAACCACGAAAAATTGCAGTTACGTATTAATAATTAAGTACAAATGACGAAATATCCAGGCGCCAGGCGATTAATAACACAACGAAAAAGCGGTAAATTTTTCAAAAGGAGCTTACCTTACTCATTTACCTGTCATTAAAACATATCTTTACATTCAATTATACAAGGTAATGGATACGCATCTTCATCCTTCACAACAGATAACCATTGATCATCCTCTTCACCTACGAAGACCGGCACCGTTATGCGCAATATGCCGTGACGAGTTGGCGGCGGGAAGTCTAATTATTTTAAAAGAAGAAGACGAAGAAAGAAAAGAAAAAGCCGAGATAAGCCGAGCGGATGACAAATATGGAGTACGTATTTACATTGGAGTAAGTAAAGGGACCGTTCACCCCGTCATTAAATTGCAAAGGAAGTCGCGATGTAGCGATAAGCAGTGAGTCAAGTAGGTAATAAATTTATTGTAATTATAGTATATCGGCACAATTACTGCGTTCCGATCACATATTACAGGTTGTAAATCAACACTCCCGACTTTTTATTCGCTTCCACGTCCAAAAAAGATCATTGTTGCAACTCCATCCCCCCTCGGTCGTAAATGGGGCTTCGCAACGTCTGCACATCTTTACCTTATCTGATTTGAAAATTTGATTTATATTTTGTTGATTGAATTAATACGTTTACTTATTAATTTAAATTTTCCTCTTGTAATTTTATGATAAATTGTTTTCAACATGTTACGGTACTTAAGCGGCTTCTTAATCTCTACCTTCCTTCGTCTTTTATTCACTGCTTTTCCGGCTTTTTATCTCGAATTGTCGATGGACCCAGCGCTTTTATCTTCACATTTTATTGGCTAAAACAGTTTTAATTGGCTGAAGCCATTTTGAGTTTTCTTTAGGTAAACTCTACCGTAAAAGCCCGAAGTCGGCTCTAACTTCTCGCTTTCCTTCGTAAATTTACTTTATCTATGTATATATGCATACTACGTGTATATATAAATAAATATCGTATGTATTTATGTATAAATATTTATACATTATGTATCGTTGTACGAAGGCAAACACTCCGCATAGGCTACTATATAATGAAAAGCTGAGAAAATTATATATAATAGCTTTTCTTGTGAATTTAAAACTCTCCAAAGTTGTTTCTTCTGGTTTTTCCGTATTAACGGCATTCGTTTATCCCCATACTCTATACGGGGTGGCTCAAAAGTCGGTTATTCTGCTTTTTTAGATAAAAGAGTAAATATGAGTGGCAAACCGAGTTTAGAACAACGCGATTTCCTCGTACAATAATAATAATAATAATAATAATATAGCAATTTAGACTTAAATGGTTAACTGACTTTTGGGTCACGGTGTGTATCAGCAATTGCTTTTAAAAGGAGACGAATGCTGCTTTTATCTTATTATTATTTAATTAAGGGGAATCTTTTCTTATATCCATTGACTGAATGCGTAAAATTTTCCTGTCGGATTTATTAAATGTCGTCCTCGTTCTTCTCTTAAGCGTACATTCGGAAGATAAACACATATTTGGTTATAAAATATATATTTTTTCATTTTTTAAATATTATTTTTGCAAATAAATTCAAATATTCTGCTATGCTTCTCTCCGTTTTTACTTCTTCTGGGCGTTGACTTATGCATTAAAAATTGATTCTGGCAATGGCTGGTTCCGTTCCCTCTACTCTCCACTTTACTCAATTATACACATATATTAGACCTATATTTTTTTCATACTTTCCCCGCTTATAAATGTCTAATTAATTTTGTGAATTTTATCGACTTTTAATTGAATTTATTCCGCATTTTTATGATGTTTCGGTCAGTTAAAGCGGTTTTTTATCTTTAGTTTTCACTGCATAAACCGGTTTTATCTTTATTTTTTATTGGATATACCGATTTTATCTACATTTTTCATTGGTTTATGCGGTTTTGTTTTGCCTTTGCACGAAGTAAAAACAGGTTTGAAACATAAACGCAGCGGTTTTATCTTAAATTTTATTGCATAAAGCGATTTTATCGGGAATTTTCACAGATTAAAACGGTTTTATCGTGGATTTTCATCCGCAAAAGTCATTTTCTTTCGCAATTTTCATCACATAAAACTGTTCGATCTTCAATTTTCTTTGGGCAAAACGGTTTCTCATCGAATAAACGTTTGTGTAATTAAGGCAATTGTACCGAAACATTGATATAGAATTAAAGTATTTAACAATTAGTCAAATTACAATTTATATAAACAAGAGATCTTAATCAAACGTACAAATTCCTAGGGAAAAATTACATATAAAACAAATAAGATAGAAGATGAATGGTGACAAATGAAGATAAAAGAGTTGTTTAATAATAAAAAAAACAAGCACTNTATAATATTTTAATAAAATAACTATTCATCATTTTAAGAGTATTTAAAATTATCTTATTATTTAATCGTTTGGCAAAATTAAGATTTAAATTTAAAAAGAAAAAAACGGACAAATATAACTGCCGTTTACTAGTGCTGTCATCTGTCGCCAGAAAACGTAATTACTTGGTCGTTGTTTTTTCCTTCCCAAACGCGCTTAAATTCGAACTATTAAAAGTTTTATCCGCGATTAATAATTTAAATATACGTATATAAATAATATAACTGGTAGTATACGTAACAATGTATAATTTACGAGAAACATTGTCTATTTGAATTTTTCAAAATATAAATTTTTTCTCTTTTTTCTTGGATTATTTCTGGAAATTTGGAAGATAAATCGCTGTTTCTCGTAGATTCATCATCTCTAGATGTTAGCTGTCCGCTTCAATGTTATCAAACCGTCTTTTTTTTTCTTTTTTTCACGATAAAGTCTGTCATGTATTCTGCTTAGTGTTCATTAGGTTCTATTAATTCTTTCCAATATAATTGTGCAGACGTTCTCCGCATACAAATGACCTTATCCTTCCTTACGCTGTCACATACATATCTAAGGATACATTAATAACGCGTTATCTAATGTTTTATGAGTTGTTAACGCCTGCAGTTATTATACGCCAACTTGGCTGGGAAAAACAAAAATATATTTATATTGTGACGAATTTTTCAATCGGTATTGTCACCGTGTTAATTATATTATTGTTAGTTCGAAATAAATCTTTATCGTTGGTACAAGATTATTTTATTTCTTTTAATACATTTTTAAATTCGGAAGCTCTCGAAATATAATTCCGGTATGTGTTTTTTTCGATACGGTGGTAGGCGCCCGTGGCAAAGCCAGCCGTCGTCTTCTCTGTAAGTATCCTATTTTGCTTCTTTCGTGTAAAAATTATTTCTTTACTTTTTATATCTTTGATTTAAAAGGTCTCGGAATATATTTTGGCTGGTTTTTACGAATTAATTGTTTTTTCGTGGATTGGTCGTAAAACGAGTCGTTATATTTCGAGTAATTATATCGAGACGGTTCCCGGAAGTAGTTGTAACGATACGATAATACGCGGAAATAAGAAATTTTACGTGGGTAATGGCGAAATTTTACGGGTCGTGAGATAGAGAATTTTGAAACCGGCGGTGGCCAAACCAGCCTATTCCATAAATATTTATTGAATATTATTTATCAGTTCGAATATGCCTTATTTATTTCTCCTCCGGCTTCTTTATAGTAGTCTATACAATGGCATTAAATTTAATAAAAGAGCTGCATCTATAGAAGGTTTAATAATTTTTATTACAGCATTAATATTAAAATGATAATTTATCAATTTGATTGTCGATACATTTAAAACCGTCGGCCTTCGGTCCGAGACGCCATTTTGAAAATTGAATTGAATTTTTATTATTAATTAATATTTTTTAATTTTCTTTAATATAATTCGACCGTTAGTTTTATTTATCGATATAATCCCGCTGTCTGGTAAAATTTTGTTACTTTTAAAAACAGAAAATTCGAATTGTTGTAGAATTTCATTTGGTAAATATCTGTTCCAATTCTGCATGTAAAATCATATTATTTTAAATAATGCTTTGGTATAATACAAAATGCGGTTTAAAAATTTACAAAATGTTTTGAACTTTTTTCTATTTTATATTTTTCAAAACTTTTAACTGGTTCAAATTATATTTCGTTGTGTTTCGTTATAGTATTTACTCGTTAGATCCCAATCCGTTGTCGGAAACCGTCGTTAAGCCAACCATCCGATTTCGTACCGGATTAGTATTTTACGTCGAGTTTACATTTCTGGAAATATTGTAATTATATAACACCGTAAAATTATAGATAACGGATAAATTTTGGTATTTTTTTAAATATTTTTTCCGCAATAGATAACCGCTTTTACGTCTAATTTCGGATTTTTGGAAAACCGTCGTAAGACGAGCCATTCCGTTATAGCTTTAAGCTTTCGTTCTCCAATATAGTGTCGCGCAAATAACGGACAAATATGCCACTTAAATGTATTGGTAATATAGAAATCTCGGCGGTCGTAAGATCGGGGTGTCGTATTTTCAAATTATAACAAAATATTTATATTATTTTAGAAAATTCGACAAAACTTTATCATTTACTACTTTCGACACGCGGTTCTTTAACCAATTCTACCAGGTAATTTACTGCAGAAAATTATACGTAATAATTTTAAATACTTTTATAAAAATCTTAGTGATAAAACTTTTTAAAAGTTTAATTTTATTTTTCGAAAGGACAATAAATAAAATGTAAAAGCCATTGACGACGTAGCATCTATCGGAAGTTAAATGCCGTCGATGAGTTTTTTAATTTGCATTATATTATCGTCGTCGTCGACCATTGTCAATCCACCGCTGGACGAAGATCGCCTCTAATCTTTTCCATTTTTCTCCGTCCAATGCTTCGGTTTTCTAATTTACGTAATTTCTGTTAAATCTAGTAAATGTCGAAAGTTTTATGAATTTAAAAATAAATTTAAGTTTTTAAAGAATTTACTTAAAACTTTTTAAAATGTACTTCTTAAAATGATAATACGAATAAATACATTGTTTAATCTTTGAAAATGTATTAAAATTTCGTGGTTTACTAGATTTTTAATCGAAATAATTGAAGAGGCACCTTTGTAATCTTGCGAGTTATAAATACGTAAAGGCACTTGGTAGACTGGAACATAAATTTGCGTCGGTGGCACGAGTTACGCGTTCATAAAGCGGAACAGGATTCGCACCTATTGCCGAGGAGTTGTGAAAAAGTGGAGAGAAAGTGCATTGATCTTTAGGAGAAGAAAAGAACGGCTATTCTTTTGCATAAGCGGAGAAAAGAGAAGCGCCTATTGAAAATTAGATATATGATCTGACAACTCTTTGCCGCACTCTTATTTCATTTTGCAAACCGAAGACCAGGTAATTATATCTAACAATTACTCATAATTACCCTTTCCTGTATATTACTGACTTTGGTCTATTTAGCGGCAGGAAGAGAAATTAAGCAATTTATTAATCAAAAATATGATAATTACTTATTTCTCTTATGACATTTCTGATTGGTTATTAATGGTGACGTTGATTTACTGCGTTAGTTTTCGGTTACGAATGGCATTCGATGGTTATTATTGACGTTAATTCTAAAATTTTGAGATTGGACACACCTCGACGGCCCCATTTTTTCCATTAGATTTTTAATTATCGCCGTTGCAAAAGTTACTTTTGCAAAGTCCAGAGTTAATCTGATTTAAATACTTTTCTCTATCAAATTCGATATTTCTCTCGTACTCTTAATTATTTTTAAAATTGTTTCTATCATTTCAAATTTGAAAAAAATTTACACTTTTGCTTTAGGATTGGTCAATCGTTTTTAAATTCAAAAAACGTCATTAATAAACCTTCTTCGAATTCCGTTATATTTTATTACATTTTTTCCAATTTTATTTCCGAGTCTTCCGAACATACCTGAGAATATAAAGTAGATAATTACAATTTAAATAAAGATGTAGAATCCGATTCGTCGTTTTAAATTTACAATGTTAAAAATTTAAGGCTCTAACAAATTATTAAGGGTGAGAGCCTTTTACTCGTTATAGCTCGGGGCCACAAAAGTCAAAATCCAACCCGCGTAGTAGCCCTAGATAATAATAAATAAGGCCTGTATATAAATATATTTACGTTACGCGATTTTGCCATATTTTACACGTTCGACATTTAAAAATGCCGTTACCACCGAGAAATTGATCCGCTTTAATAATATAGAAGAGAAAATGGAGGCAGAAAATCAACAGTTGCATCGCACGAAAAAATGGAAAATAAAATGAAAAATGGTCAGACTAGTTATTATAGAAGAAGAAAAATGGAGTATACAGTTATTATAGAAGAAAAAAATAAAATCGGATACGTGTAATGAACGATTGGGAAGAAGAAAATAGAGTTAGAATGCAACATAACAGAAACGTTTGCTAGTGTTATATGAAGAAGAAATTGAAAATGATAGCACGAAATCAATATTTGTTGCTATAGTACAAGAAATTGAAATTGAGGGCACGAAATCAATAGTTTCGGATGTTACGAATACGAGTAAATAAATTCGAGAGCACGAAACAAACAGTAGTGCCTCGACTATTGTGCAAACGGAAATTGAAAGGGACGAGTAACTATCGTTTCCGATGTTAGAAAAGGAGAAATATGGCGGTGCAAACGGCAAAAGACGTGTCGCCATGTAAGAAGAATTAAATACTTTTAACCCAAAGTAAAAGTATAAGAAAGAATTTCCGCGCTCTTTAAAAAGGATAGCGAGTTTAATACATAATGCATAGATTCTAATGCGGAGAAGGACAGGAATGTATCACAATGCATCACCTTTAAGTGTGCCTCTCTAATTCGTAGTTTTCCCTTCAGGTATGCCCGCTGAAGACTTATAAACGTATCATTGATATAGGTAAATGACTCTAACTTATTTAAAACTGCAAATTTTTTTTCTGTTCGATGAAAGGTACGATTTCGTTAGAAGCTGACGATTTGAACAAAGGATTAAACAGAGTTACTTCCACGAATAACTCGGCATCTGTTTATTTTCCGTCAGTTAAAATAAGTATTACCACATAATTTTAACCGTTAACACCGCTACTTCTGCCAAAATTTCTTCCGTTTTGTTTGTTTTTCTTGAAACTATTTCGGTTGCCAAAATTTTTAAACGTTTTTCTACTTATTTCCTCTGACGTTTCTTAAATATTAAAGAGAAATTTATAGATCCGGATGATGGTGTTATCGCGTGTGATCGTCTTTATTAATTTTTACTCTACTACGGCCTCAAAAAGTACTTTTAAAACGGTGGCCCGGCTCGTATAAATGCGAATTTTTGTATATTACGTACCGCAAGATTTTTTTCCGGATCTGGAGAGGGAATAAGAAAAAAAAGGAGGACGAGGAGAAGATGCTTAAATGAATGAGAAGAGGCGAAGTTGATAATGCATTAGCCATTGAAAAATCCGAATTTATCACGAGTAATAATAGGAAGAGGCAAGAAAAGCATTCAAATTACCATTAAATATCCGTTTTCTGACGAAAGACGAAACTAATTGGCACCATTACTTTTAAAGTAATCTCATTAAAGCTTAAGTATTTTTTAACACATTGTTAATAGAATGGGAAAAGGTTGAATCGCGGGCGAAATTTGCCTTTTATTAAAGGAAAAGACGAATGAGATTTCTTCAACACGCCTAATCTACTTTATACGTATTCTTTTAATAAGAAGATAATACGCTATCGTGTAGAGTCAGTTTAAAAATGGCCTTAAACCATTGTAGCGCGTTACACGCGTACAGATATCCTTCATTTTCTCACTACGCTGTGAAAGAAAAGCATAGGCGCGTGCCTTCTTGTATAAGTTTCCTCGCTGCTCGCCATAGGGAAAGTTCGCATGTTTATGCAATATGCGGTCACGCCCAAGTAGTAATGGATCCTGGCGTGCTTGTAGTGAGTCGTGATAAAACTGCTAGTTTTACATCGATCTGGTGACTCATTTGGTCGAGAGAGGATCGACGTCTGCTGTATCATCACGCGATGCAAACAAGACCAACGTTCACTCTTAAAACTGCCTTTCGTTTCGCAGTTTTGTTACTCTAAAGCCTTCTCTTCTCGACCTAAATGTCATTACGAACAAAGCGCTTGGGTCGGAGTCATCTCTTGTCTTACTTACTTCGAGTAGCGTCGGAATTATCGTTTATACAATAACCTGGAAGAGAGAATCCTAACAACCCTCTGATGGATTGCTGAAGATTTTTCCTTCTGTTGCTAATGCACAGGCGATAAATTAATGCTATCTCCTCGCTGCAGCTTTGTTATTCGCCTAGTAAAATCTCGCCTGTATTCAAATAAGCGCGATCATCGGTTGCTTAAGTAAACCTCGTTTCGTTCTCAATGATTATACACAAATAGAGTCTATTTTTTGATAAAACAGTACTCATTTTTCAACTAAAACATTTTCTTCCGTTAGCTTATTATAAATAAGCTAATATAAAATGGTAATATTAAATTTACTTTGTATTATTTAAATAATGTAAATCTGCTAATTCTATGCATGTTTTTAGCTATAAAAGGCGAACAATTAGCGCAGTTTTCATTAATAAACTACTACAGAAACAACAGATTGTTATTTAATAGCCAGTCGCTCTATTAAAACCGAGTATCACTTCATTAATATCTGCAATAAACATGACGTAATAAAATATTTAATATTATAATTTTTTGCTAGTGTAATACCACTTACACTACGTTGCCTTATGTACGTTTTATTAATAACATACTTTTTTACTTTTATCTTTATATAAAATAAAGTAGAAGAACGAAGACAAAATACAGAAAACAAAATACGTATTAAACTTTATTACTGTAGTAGCATAGGGGTATTTACCAGCAAAAATACTAGATTTAAATATACATAGGCGTATAATTTTAAAAATAGAAAAGACGGAATGTAATTCGATGATTTGTTGCTGTGGTAGCAGCGTGTTTCGGACGTTTTCTATTATAAATCAGCATTTAACATATAAAATATAATTTCTGCGGCTAAAAATATGTGCTAGTAGAAAAATCTTTCCGCGTTCTGCTTTATTACCCATAGGAATGGTTTATTTCCTAGTAAAAATGGCATCAATGGACTATGAATGTTCACTAACACGCAATTCCAAATAGAGCAAATATAAAATAGTACTTTTAAGTACACGCACTTCGCTTATCACAATGATAACCGTGACTCATCGTTAGAATAAAATATTAAAAAAGTAAAAGACCTAGACTTATCGTTTTTCTCATTTACCGAACAAGTCGGCTCGTAAAAATGTTCAAAATCTCGAATTAGAAGAAAATAGTAATAATAATGCGGCCCTTTAGAAGAAGGAGGTTTCAAATTTTTATCGATCTCCACATTAGTACAAATTTATGCGGCTAATTCGGCCATTATTGAAGTAGTTTAGCCTCATTTACCATACTGTAACGTCGTCGGTAGAAATTTCTATTTAATTCGGTAAAAAATTAATATATTCCTGGCCAATTTCGACGGAAACGTAGAAGTTTTTATCAGTAAAACACAGGCAA